TCATTGCATCATTACATTTGCATCATTACATTGCATCTCCCAAAACTCGTAGCATTTCCATCACATGGAGCATTACGCTATAAAAAAAAATTCAAACATGCATGAGTATAAGCCAATTGTGTCCACTGGTGGCAACCAGATTGTTATGCGCTCAGATTTGATTTACCCCCACAAGAAGCCTAGGGTAATTCTATTATGTTTCCCCAGCAGAGTGTGTTTGGATTCACCACCAGTCGGGTCTTTGTTATTTCTCCATTTCCCCAGTAAGTTTGTGGTTTGCGCTTTTCTTTGCAAGCCTCCGGTTATTTTACCCGCGTTTGCTTTGTCGCTAGAGTATGAGTAAGAGTTGGCTTACAACCTTCTTGCTTCTCGAGTGTTTGAGTATCCATACTTGGTCTGTGGTAATTCTAACAATTGCCACTCTTGAAGAATTAACACCCCGCCTTTGGCCTGGGGGATTTTTAGTTCTTGCGTATTTGCAGCCTATCGAAAGCCTAACATGTTTTTCTTTGTTAAAGTCTGCTTTGACCAGTCCCTTTCTCTTGCAGAGTTCACCTTCGATCGGTGCTCTTTGAAGGTCCTGCTTAGTGGGTTCCTTGTTTTGGTTTATCCACGTTAGTCGGGTCCTCCTTTCGTTATCCTAGCTAACTTTTTTATGATTAAGAGTCTTTCAATGTCTCTTCAAAGTCCAGTTGTCTGGCGCCCTTGTTTAGGCGAATGCGTCCTTTTTTATTGGGGATTTCTTTGGTTAGTCTCGTTCCTGTGTTCACTAGCAATTCTAAACATTTGTTTCTTGACGATCAATTTCGCTCTTGTGTATCTAACTCTGACCAGATATGCATACCTTTATCATTTGTTGATAGTCCCCTTCGGCTGGTCTCTTTGCAGTTGTAAGTTCGCCTTCGACCAGCGTTCTCTTATCAGGAATCTACCTTCGGCATAGTATTCCTGGATGAAGATTCCCCTTCGGCTGGTTTCTTTATCCTAAAGTCCACCTTCGGCTGGCATCCTTTAAAATACACCTTCGGCTGGTACCATTTGTTGAGAGTCCCCTTCGGCTGGTCTCTTTACAGTTGTAAGTTCGCCTTCGACCGACGTTCTTTTCTTAGGAATCTACCTTCGGCATAGTATTCCTGGATGAAGATTCCCCTTCGGATGGTTTCTTTATCCTAAAGTCCACCTTCGGCTGGCACCCTTTAAAATCCCGCTTCGGCTGGTATCTTTCTAAAGTCCACCTTCGGCTGGCACCCTTTAAAATCCCGCTTCGGCTGGTATCTTTCAAAATCCCGCTTCGACTGGTATTTCTCAAAAAATCCCGCTTTGGCTGGTATCTTTCAAAACCCCGCTTCGGCTGGTATCACTTGTCGAAATCCATCGTCGACTGGTATCATTTGTCAGAAGTCCCATTTGTTTGGTCTCTTCCCTCAGTAAGTTCACCTTCGATTGGTGTTTTCTGTGTAAGAGCTTTCTTCGGTCTGTCTCTTTCGTACGTATCCAATACCGACCACGGATATGTATCTTTGATATCTCTTTTGTGTGTATCTGATACCGACCACGGATATGTATCTTTGATATCTCTGTCATACGTATCCGATACCGACCACGGATATGTATCTTTGATGTCTCTTTCTTACGTATCCGATACCGACCACGGATATGTATCTTTGATGTCTCTTTCTTACGTATCTGATACCGACCACGGATATGTATCTTTGATATCTCTTTTGTGCGTATCCGATACCGACCACGGATATGTATCTTTGATATCTCTTTTGTGCGTATCTGATACCGACCACAGATATGTATCTTTGATATCTCTTTCTTACGTATCCGATACCGACCACGGATATGTATTTTTGATACTTGTTTCATATGTCTGCTACCAACCCTAGACATGTGTTCTTGATATCTTTGTAAGAGCTTTCTTCGGTCTGTCTCTTTCTCACGTATCCGATACTGACCACGGATATGTATCTTTGATATCTCTTTCGTATGTATCTGATACCGACCACGGATATGTATTTTTGATACCTATTTTATATGTTTGCTACCAACCCCAGACATATATTCTTGTATCTTTGATGTCTCTTTCGTACGTATCCGATACCGACCACGGATATGTATCTTTTCTATCTCTTTCTTACGTATCCGATACCGACCACGAATATGTATTTTTGATGTCTATTTCTTGTATATCCGCTACCAACCCCGGATATGTGTCTCTGATACTTTTTTCCTGTATGTCTGCTACAGACTTCAGGCATATATCTTTTGATATCTTTCTTACAGGTGTTTGTTATTAAATCCCAACAGATGTTCCTTGATAACCAAGTTATTCTGCTATGTGTCAAACCCTGGTTAAACGTACATCTAACCTCGATAACCCCTTTAACCTAGAAAGCAAAAAAAAAATACAGAAAATACAGAAAACCAAAAATAATAATACCTGACTGGCTTCGGAGCGCAAATTTTCGGGTTCTTTTAGTATTTAATCTTCTTCCACCCTGAAAGTTCGAAAGGCTGACGCCAATCTCACCTTCAGGATTGAAGGAGATTAAATAGGGGCAGCTGTTGCACCCCAAAATTTGCCCTCCTATTTGCACTTTTATGGCTTAGACTTTTTGCATTCATCTACATCATTCCAATGGGTCATTTGCATAGCACGCATTTTTCATAAAGTAGATCGCCTGAGGCTCAAAAGATCAACAGTTAGGAAGCTAGGGTTTACAGCTGATTTGAGGTGTATGTGTTGGATAAGTTTGATTATCTAGGGTCTTCTCGGTGTACAAAGTTTTGGAATTAAGGTTCAAGGCTCATTTCTGGACTTCTTCTCCACCAAGTTACTGGGCTAATATCTTCTGATGAACAACTGGTTGTAGGTCATTCTGGTCAAGAACTCTAGGACGTGACCTAGCATATGTGGACTGTGAAGCATGGCATCCTTTCCTATAAGTATGCTTGTCATTTGATTAGGATTAATGACTGTGACATGACGTTCATCTACTCCTCAGTTAATCAATTTAGGTTTTGTTGAATCATGGTTCAAAGATGTTTTATCCGGATATTTCTCTGTGCATCTAAACGGGGAATCAAGATTGTGAGGTGTGGTTAACATAATTTCTTTCTCTTCAAGATATAATTGCTTTTATCCAGTCTTGGCAAGTGCTGGGGTTTTCATTTGTGCAACTAGGGTTTCACGTCAAGGGAATTCTTCTGTGATTCAGACTTTATCATCCCTCTGTAAGATGTTCCTTATGACGCTAATTTCAAGTTGAAATAACCGATCGCTAAGGGCTGGGGATTGAATTGTGAAGCGTGGTTCATGACCTAAGATATGAATTCATAGATTTCTCCTTAACCAAGGCGATCATTGTCCTCATCATTGTCATTTGTTATCTGCGATGTGAGTAGGTTGGGATTGAAGTGGGTTTCTCATGGAAGAATTCATGCAAGGTAATTAAAGGTTCAAGGCATTCAAGGCAGGGTTTTGTTCAACATGGCATACCTGGTTGATGGGCTTACAAGCTCTTATGAGACCTTGAGATGCATAATCATGGGCCAAGTTCAAAGATACGAGGATAAGATCTGTTGACTTCGGTTAAAGTAAGCTTTGAACAATTAACTTTGGGGCCAAGGTCTCCCTTGAATTTTCATCTAATATGTGTTGGGAATTCGAGTTGCATTTGAAGAATAGTATGGTAAAGGAAAAGAAATATTGGTTCAGAAAAGGAAGATTTCATTAAAAATCAGGGTTTCTATTCATTGATAAATGTTCAAGTAATTGAAGATCAGGGGAAATAAGGTTTCATGTTAATCTCGACCATGTTCTTTCATTATCATTTGTGTACATCTTTGATGATTAAAGGTCTTCAATTAGAGAAGGACCTCGTCGAGATAAGAGACTTGTGGATTGAATCGTGGGACAAGGCATGATACAAAAGGGCAAGTTTGTGAATTTTTTAGGATCAAGATCTTATTGGATACTAAAATTATTTGTCATTCAAGTTGATTTGGGATTCAAGATTGAAGTTAGGAGTCCATTGAGAATGCAAGTGTGATTGGGATTTGAAGTTTGATTTAAATTCAAGATGTTCGAAAGTGTTTGGCTGGATTAAAGTCGGCAAAGAGCCTTAAGTATTGGTCATATGGGTTTCTTGAAAGGTAAAGTACAGACTGCGAGGTTTTGTTTCAAGTCGGAGTTCATACACATTACAAAGATGTTCATCGTTATTCCAGATTCAAGTTCACATGTGTTCAAAGTTTATTCGAACCCTTTCATTCGTGATTCAAGAAAATACTATCCAATTCCATTCAATTTCATACAAGTGTAACAATTCCTTACAAGAAAATTTAATACTTTCATTCTCATATCTCGTCTCTTCTTGTTTCACACAAACGTGTTTTGAACTTTCGTCATCTTCTTCCTCACTCCATTGCCCTTATATTCTCCTCGTTATCTCTCTCGTCGAGATTAATTTATTTTCCTTTTCCTCTAGCGAGATTATTTCAAAGGATATTGTGATCGGTTCTGGTGAAGTATTTGGAATTCTCTTCAAGTGTTTATTTTTTGTGGCTGATTAAATTTGATTGAACTGCACCACATGGCTGAGGAGGGTTACAGGGTTGCTTTAAATGTTTATGATTTAAGCCAAGGACTTGCTAGACATCTTTCAATGTCGTTTTTGGGGAAAGCTATTGAAGGCATATGGCACACAGGAATTGTGGTTTATGGAAATAAGTATTACTATGGTGGTGGCATACAACATTGTCCTGCTGGATCAACACCATATGGAACTCCACTTAAAGTGGTTGATTTAGGTGTTACACATGTTCCAAAGGATGTTTTTTGAAATGTATTCGTAGGAAATCAGTCCGCGATACTTGGCTGAAACCTATAGTTTGCTTACTCACAATTGCAACAACTTCAGCAATGAAGTTGGACAATTTTTTTGGTTGGTGGTACAATTCCAGATTATATTCTTCAGCTCCCTAATGAAGTTATGAGCAGCCCAATGGGTGCTCTCATGTTTCCAATGATACAGAATTTAGAGACAACATTAAAGGCAGGTGGAGTTCCACAAATGCCACAGTTTAGGCCTTCAACAGTGACTTCTGCATCAAATTTTGCCTCAGTCAACACCCAAAAAAGTTCAACTGGACTTAACTCATCCACAGAGAATAAGGTCATCAATAAGGAAGTAAAAGGCAAAGAAGAAGTTAAGAAGACCGAAAATGCAGTGTCATTTTATATTTAATTAACAATTAGTTATGTATACAATTTCACTATAGTTTGTGGTGGATTATTAAATTGAAATTAAGACAACTTGAGTCAATATTATCAATTCACAAATTGTCAAGACTTGGGAATCACATTGATGCTTTAAGAGAGGTTACTAAACTTCCATTTTCGCCTCTAGATCCTCGAGAACCTGATACTTCTGTTGAGGTGTTTGAAAATTTATCTCCTCATGTCCAAGCTTGTATACCAGACCTCTTGAAGGTTGCTCTGACTTGTCTGGACAATGTGGCAGACTCTGATGGATCTCTTCGTGCCTTGAGGGCTAAGACTTCCAGTTTTATTGCAAATAATGTAAAGAGGAATTGGCCTCGTGATTTGTATGAAAGAGTTGCTTGAGCATTCAGGCTTGGCAGCAGATCAAATATATGCAGTAGAGTTAATTGGAGGTGCTACCAGAGTGCCAAAGTTACAGGCTAAGCTTCAAGAGTTCCTTGGTAGAAAAGAACTTGATAGGCATCTTGATACTGATGAAGCAATAGTTATTGCTGCTGCTACGGTGGATGCTGCAATTGCACGGTGGACAGCTCATGGACTGCATCCGTTGTGCACTCTACTCCCTACAATTTACTTTTACCCATCCACCTGTTAGGACCTGCATAGAAAGATTAAAAAGAAAAAATCAATAAACAGTTAACAGTTCAGTTCTAAGAAATTGTAACAAAGCAGAATTCTAACCATTCCAAAACAGATTACTAACAGAATTCCTCTTAAACTAACTTGTAACCATAACAAACTTCTAACCAAAGTTTCTAACAGAATGCCAACTTTTCTAACTAACTATATAACTAACTTTCACAAACTTAACAAATTTCCTCCAACCTCCTAACTAACTCTAACCGCTTCTAAAAAAAACTGCAACAGAATGCTTAAACTTAAAACTGTTTTTTTAACCGAATTCAAAGGCTCATAAACTCCTAACAATCTTTACAAAAAAATATATATAAGATTTAGCAGAATGGAGGAGAGGGGATGGACTCTCAGATCCACAAATCACTTATTCATCAAGAAAAAAACAAAAAAGATTCATTATCCACAAAAACATAAAATCTCAAAAGGAAACTCACCAAGAAAAAGCACAAGAAACTTCTCCATTCGTCTTCTTGCAATTTCTGAAACTGCACAACATCACTACTCGGCTTCAATCTTCGATCACCTTTTTCAATTCTGCATCGCCTCTTTCAAACCTCCACCTTTGCATCTTCTTCATCCACTTCAACAAAACCTCCAATATTCATCTTCTCTGCAATCTTCTCCATCAATACATAATCATCCTCATTGATTCTTTCAGACTACAAACGCAACTGAATCATCATCTTCATTGAAACCTTATCAAGTTCTACTACTATCACCTTTATTCCTCAAGCTGCAGTTTCATTGTAACCGCTTCAAGCATCACTGTATCTTCATCTTCATCATCATCTCTCTGCATTCAACATCAACAAACCAACTGCACTTCAGCCTCGTAACAAGAACGCGCGTGCAATCGAATGCAACGTCTTCAGAAACATAAGCACGCAGAAATTCAGAAGAAGAAAAAGGAATTCAAGCAAAGAAGCAAATAGAATAAATATACCTGATCCAGGATTTGAAGATCTCTACGTCTCTGGTCTTCTTTATCTACTTCAAAGAGCCGTAGGAGGTACTCTGGTCGGTATGTAACGAATTTCTCCACTCTTCATCTTTCTTGCATCTTAATCTATATCTTAGCATAGTTTTAGATCAAATATGGCTTGAATCATTGAACGCGAGAAGAGGTCGCGGGTGAGACGAATTGGAAGCAGTCCGCAAATCGCGAGGAATGTAAGACGGAGTGGAGAGGTCGGACCGTTCTTCATGGTGCGTAAGCGACGACGGGATGCTTGTCTACGGCGGCGAGATGAGAACGAAGGAGATTTTTCGGTAGTGGAAGGTGAGTAAGTTGAATAGATCGCGCTGTTTGGTTTGTGAGGAAGAAGAGAAGTTTTCAGTTGTTTCGCGTGAATTTGGGAATTTACAAAAAGGATAAACCTAATCCCTTTTCCATTTCTGTAATTTTGTTTTTAATTGTTTTTCTTTTGTTCAATTCAATTAATAAAAATTGAATAATAGTTTTGAAACAACTTTTTGAAGGTGATGATGGACAAATGACTTGATGGACCGTACCACTCTCATACATTGGTCTGTCACTGTTTTTTTTTTTTTGGAACTTTTTCTTGTCAACAATTGCTTCATGGACTCTCCTGGATTGGGCTTAATGCTCATCTTACTGAATGCACACCCCCCTATATTTCTTCCTAGCGCCCAGGCTGCATAACACGCCCCTGGATTATTGGTTTACACCCCTCTAACTCTTTTTTAATTTTTTTTTACTTTTAGTTTAAATTTCTTCCAATTTTATTAATAAAAGTAGTAAAAATACATATCATAAAAATAAATAAATAAAATTTAGGACTTTTTTTTTATAATAAAAAACTATAAAAATCAATAAAACTTTTTAGGCTTTTTATTTTGATTTTAGGAAATTAGTTCATAATCTTTCGATTACTTGAAAATTGCGATTCACCTTTGTTTGTTAAGCTGAGTCTTATGCAGGTTCATTATTTGATATGTGGATGTGTTTTGGATTCCGATTGTGATTTATTTTCACATCGACGAAGTTGCGACACTTATTCCAAATATTCGAACTATGACGGTTTGTTTGTTGATGCCAGCTCACGCGAAGTATCTCGAATTTCTTTACTTTGGTTGCACTTTTTGCGGACGTCATTGTTCGTTTGTATGGGAAATGCTTGGAGATTAATTTTTTATCACTCATGCGGAGCAAATTCTGTAGAGTTTTCTTACCACTTGCGGGGCTTTAAAGAGGCAACGGACCTTCTCCGTTCGGTATCGTCACAACCCTATTTTACTCCCCATTTTGCACTTTAATGCATTTCTTTAGTGCTTGCTAATATTAGATAGAATTCCCTCGAGAAACCGAATCTTATGACTACCAATGCATGATAACATTAGGTTTAGAAGTAGGCTAGTCTTCATGTGACTTTCTTTCCCCCTTTGCATATGCATTTAAAACAAAAACTTCTTTTTTTACAAACTTCAAAATACTAAAAATTTACCGACTAGAATCATATCTTCGTTAAGTATGTGAGACGATAAGCGGGTCTTTTCTCGACCTTATTGTTCTCTTATTCTAAGCTTTGGTATGGTTCAAGTTTCAAAGACTCATTTCATGAATAAGTGGAGAAAGGACTAAAATCTCTCTCTTGAGATTAACTAGCTATTATCCACAAGCAAAAACACCAACAAACACAAAATTCCTTTTGCCTTCAGGCCCTTTCTTCAAAAACTTTTCAGAAGAGCATATTAATTCACTTCTGTGATGACGCGTAAGTCTCCAAAAGCCGAGTTGCGGCAGATGGCGAAATTAATGTTGTTCGTCAAAAAACAAACAAATTCAAACTTTTGTGCGTCCAGGCACATTTCTTTCAAAACTTTTCAGAGAGAGCATCTTAATTCACTTTTGTGCTGACGCGTAATTCTCCAAAGGTCGAGTTGCGGCAGAAGGCGAAATCAATACTGTTCATAAAAACACAAACCAACAAAAACATATAAGCTGAACTACGGCTGCTCTGATTCCTTAAAAGGGATACGTGGGCATTAGGGTAGGGCCCAAGCGAGCACAACTTTATTTTCCCTACATTCTTTTCTCTTTTATTTTGCATGCATTTCCTGTACAGTTTAGATATAGATTAAACACACCCATAAGATAGATAACAAGAGTGGATACCGTAGAGTACTACGGGCGTGTGGGGTGCTAATACCTTCCCCTTGCATAACAGACTCCCTTACCTTTATCTCTTGGTCGTTCGACCTTGATTTCACCCTTATCAGGTTTTCTCGATGTTTACCTTTCCCTACCTTTGGGATAAAAGACGTTCGATAGCGACTTCATTGTTTGATGATTTTCAGCCGGTTGTTTCAATACCCAATCATCTAGAGTACATGGGGACCTATAGGGGTTCCCTTAGCTAACTTGCTATTAAAAAGGGCCTTTGAAACCTGAAACCCCTCATTCCTTGCATGCTCTTGATAGAGCATCTTCAGATGTTCGGTCATATCGAATGTTGTCGTGTTCTCATGTTTCTTTTGCAACTCCGAGTTCATAGTAGCCAACATGAGGCAAGCGGTTTCATTGGCATCATCGACATACTTTTTATAAGAATCTCTTTAAGCCTTAGGAGATGAACTGGAAGGTTCCTCTTCAGAAACAGGTGTTTCTAAGACATACAACTTTTTGTCATGTTTGAGGATAATCCTCAGGTTTCGATACCAATCTAGAAAATTTGTCCCAGACAATTTTTCCTTGTCAAGGATTGATCGTAAAATGTTATTAGAGGTGTTTGTTGTCATGGTAATCTACATAAAGATTGTGAAGATATTAGTATCATTAAAACATATTCAATTAGGCCTTTAATTAAATATTCTCTCACTATTTTACTCAAACCAAATGACCCTCACCATTTGATTCGAAAAAATCTGTTGGAAGATTTTCTAGTGGGTCAAGATCCATATTTCACTTTGTTTTAAGTCAGTGTTAGACTAATTACACAAAACTCAGTTATTTAGGTAGGAACTCCTTCCAATTGTATCTAATACAATTATCGAATATTTCAGTTGGGCGAATAACTCCTTATTCTAATCCATCATATGGGTCATTCCCAACTCCTGCTTCTAAACGCATATAATCTTGTTATAATTTGTTTAGTTAAGTTTGACCCAGAGTTTTAGAAATTGGATATCACATTTATCCCATTGCACCTTACTAATATAGAACATGCATCTCGCGTTAGGCGAAACCTACATTGTTCGATACTAGTCTTGATGAGTGCTAAAACTTATAAAGCATAAACTTAATATTCATTTTGATGGATTTTGTTATTAGTTTGATCTCACCGGCTTAACATGCAAATCGTCTCTCACATGCATCAACATACAAACACATGCATCAACATACATATAAAAATATATAGTTATGGCCCCTAGTGCAATTGTTCTCTCAAGTCAATGAGAGAACCTAAGCTAAACCTAATAACGATCTACGCTTCTCCAAGCTAGATCTCCATGGTTGCCATTTTTTGATCTTGTCTTCTTATTTTCTTCATTACATTACATTACATCAAAGAATACTTGTTTTACATACGAGGGAGTACGATGAGAAAATAAGTCACATAAAGAGAGTATAAAGAAAGGCACGACACAAAGGTCATATTTAAAATTCCAAAACAAAATAAAAGAAGACTAAGGCCATAACCGATCACCATGAAACAATAATAATAAACACATTTTATTATTATTATTATTATTATTATTATTATTATTATTATTATTATTATTATTATTAATTTAAATTCTATTAATTAAATAAGTTAAATTAAATTAAACTTTGGCGATTGATCATGAGTTAATTGAGGTTTCTACTGTCCGGTTATTAACTTATACCAAATTATTTTAAAATAAATAATAACAACAATTTATTATTATTTATTTAAATAGTAACATGATACTTTATCATATTCTTTTGAAAACTTTTTTCATTTGACATAGGCACAG